CACACACACACACACACACACACACACACATACACACATACACACATATGTATAAAATCTACTTTGAAATTATATTATTTCTCTCTAATATTTTTACAATGCAATATGATACATTTACTGTTAAAATAAATTAAATTGTTTACATTTCTCATCAACAAAATATGAAAAAATTGTCAGCAATTTTTATACATGTATTAGGTTGAGACAAAAGTTTATTTAGCGCCATTTTTCATTTAGATATCTACATGATTTTCCAAAAAAATTTAACAACTTTTCATTCAATAAAACAAAATTTCAATATAAAAAATTCGATTTTTTTATTGCAGTAGAATGTTTTTCAATGAAATAATGAACAATCAAAGTCAAAACGATTTTTTCATTTAATCTGCGATAACTCGCTCGATTTCCTAAAAATTTTTACCAGAAAATACAGAAAAATTAAATAGATTAAGACAAGATCTTAAAAATTCTTAGTTTTTTCTAGTAGGACATAGAGTTGTTTGTTTCATGATACAATATAAAACAAAAAAATGTTCCGTAAACACTCGTAATATAGAGTGAGAAGATATATACGGAAAAGGCGGAGGATTTCTTAATATTTCAACGGATATGTCTCATTACGAATTTCTAAATTCGTAATTAAGAATTTCTAAGATCTTGTTCTAATCTATATAATTTTTGTGTAAAACATTTTCCGCCAGAGTCAGTAACAAAAATTTTGTAAAAAAAAAAAAAAAAATTTTGAGCTCTTACGTTAAAAAGTTGAAAATTTTCACAAATTTTTTTTGGATTTATGACATCCTACAAAGATTTCTCATTTTTTCCGACTCGTGAGTTTCTACACATAAAACTTATCATATAACTCATAGAAACTTAAAAGATATAACGACCTTTTAAAAGTAGAGATTTTAAACTTTGAAACCGCTTTTTAAAATTTAAATTTCATTTAAATCGTTCATTTTTAACAACTATTTTTACAGTTGAATTTTAAAGTTCGCATCGCTACGAACTTTTATTTCAATCTAATATTGTATATTATGAAGAGTATTATTCATAAAATATAATAATTAGAATAAATATACATATATTTATATATTTAGTCTTTTAAATTATTTAATCAAATACAATGACACTGAATATGTTCAAAAGTATGTTTAAGTTAAAAGACTTATAATATTTTTGTAAAAAGTAACAGCAACCATTAAACAAGCATTTTTTATGTATTCTTATATTGTGATTAAAAAAAGATAAACATATATATGTAACGTTAAGTACATAATTAAATTTCATTATTTGAATACTCGAAATATTTACTTATATAGTGGAAAAACTAATTAAAAAATTTCTAAAAATGTTCTTGTTTATATATAAAATATATATAGATTCTTATTATATTAAAAAGTTAGTTCTTATATCACAAATTGCATATTCTTAGTATTCATTTACATGAGAAAAATCGCCCAATGATTAATTAAGATTAAGCTGTAGCAACCATATCTATTTGTACGGTATCGTACGTTACTAAATTCATTGTAAATAAATTTATGGATCAATGTACTATTAAAAACATTCCATTAAATATATGAGAAATTTTTTACTATAACTTGGACTAACTATCACAGAAATATTTTTGTTATTCGATATCTATGAATAAATGAATTTTATATATATATATGCACATCCATACGAACAGACACACATTCATACATGCGCGCGTAGCATAGTAAGATCACATTTATGCGTCATTATAATATTTTTTTAAATTCCTATCCCGTTTTCATTAAAGCAAAAACTTAATTAATTACAGACCTAACCCAATCATCAGCATATATGTAATAATACTTAATGTTGTAATGGCAGTATTAATAACAAATACAGTAACAATAGCTACGTTGTATAACACTAGTAGACATACAAAAATGCAATAAATCATGATTATACGCGAGTTAATGCCATGAAATTCTTAAAGAATGTTTTGTTATGGCATAGTCCTGCGGAATCAGAGGCATGGACGCAGATACAGGAAAATGAGTAGAAAGATGTACGACTCACTCCTGTTAGAGGGCAGCCAAAGTAGCACTATCATCTTCCACTGTCTGTAAACATGTGAAATATCTCTCTTTTTGGCGCTCAGGAGACATGCCATGCTAAAGACAATTGACAACTGTACATTTCATGCGCCATTTAAAGTATCTAATGAAATTATGTAATAAATCCTATTTACATGATGTATTTACGAATTTCATGAAAATGCTTCAGTTCCTGTATGTATTGCGAGGAAAAATCAATATAAAAAAAGGTATACAACATTCAGAGACTTAAAAAGATTATATAAGATCGATTTTAATAAAACTTATATAAGTATAGTCCATTTAAATGTTTTAAATTAAAACATTCAAACATCTTCTATTTTAATTTTTATATTTTATTAAAAGTACTACTATTTATTAAAACTACTATACTATTTCATAATAATATAATATTCCTTAAGGGGATCCTAAAGACAATTACTTATAGTGTAAGCAGGACTCACATCACAGATGATTTATGTATTAGTGACACATCACTATATATTACTACATCAATATCTCACATATAAATATAAATTTTTATATAATGATAACGTTTTAATTAGATGTCTAAGATCAATTCGAAGAACTTCATGTTGTTTCTTCGTGTTTACTAAGCTAGGGCTTACTATTTCGTAAGTAAATTTCATAACTTTTGTATGAAACAAATGTCATAACGTGTCAGCTTTAGAGCGTGTAGAATTGTCATATCAAAATTTTCAAAACTAGAACTTACAGATCTAAAACCATAGACATTTCGTTCAAAACTCTAGACGTATATAAAAATGCATATAGGTCAGTAAAATTTATCGAAATCGTAAACAAATAATTATTTCATATCTATTTGTTCATTAATAGTATTAATTTAATGTAAGAAATTGACCAATCGCATATAATCCATTATTTTCCTCATGTTCAAGTGTGATTGCTTACTTTCTTATAGCTTAAGGATTACTACACCTATTGTAAATCAGGATCAATGCAAAATAACGCGAAAAAGAAGTACAAAATTTAGATGATTCCTTAAAACCCCGGACGCACATAATTATGCATTCGGACGCTTTAAAAAAAAGAGAATAATGAAAAAAAAAGACGGATGGCAATCCTACTATAGCACCACACTGGACAAAGAAATAGTTAAGATCTCACATGATCTCAATATCGAAATTTTTTGCTTTTTGGCATAAACTACCTCACAGATACGTATTAATGAGTATACAGTATATTTTAATCTTGGAAAAAAATTTTTCAAATTTAAAAAAAAGGAAAAATTAATTGTTATATATATGGTTTAGTCAATAATATAGATGGCTTTAAGATCCCCTTAAGAATAAATAAAACATCTCAATTCTGTAAAAAACGCAACAGACATTTATATACATATCTTTTAAAATAATTTGAAATACAAAAAAGCATTTCACTTCTCTTCACCTCTCTCTCTCTCTCTCTCTCTCTCTCTCTCTCTCTCCCCCCCCCCCCT